TCTCTCTCTCTCTCTCTCTCTCTCTCTCTCTCTCTCTCTCTCTCTCTCTCTCTCTCTCTCTCTCTGGCTGCATCCTTTCGTCTCTGAAGCTTTCTGAGGGAACTAGCAACAGCTTCCTTCCTTTCATCCCTTCTTATTTGTTTTTCTGTTTTTCAATTTTTAATTCTTATTTTCTTGCTTTCTTTTTATTTGGTCCTCCCTGTTTCCCTCCTTTTTTCCCTCCCTACCTCCCTCCCTTCTTCCCTCACCGACCTTCCTCCTTCCTTTCCCCCTGCTCTTTCCTTCCCATCCTCCTTCCTTCGCCTTCCTTCCCTCCCTTCCTCCTCTCTCCCCCTCCTTCCCTTCCTCCTGTCTTCCCTTCCATTGGAATTTTAACCGAATGATCGGAGTTCAAATACTGCTATCCCTGTAAGTATATGACGGAATTGGTAACTCCGTTCATCTCCATCTTGGAGACACTGTCGGAGATTCCCTTCGCTGCCCTTCCCTCGCTTCGTCTTTTCTCCCCCTCCTTATGTTCGTCCTTTCTTCCCCTCCTTACCTTCTCCTCCCTTCGATTCTCTCCCTTCCTCCTCTCTTCCCTTCTCTCCCTCCCTCCTCTCTCCTCCTTCTTCCCTTCCTCCTCCCTCCCTCCCTCCTGTCTTCCCTCCCTTCCCTCTCTTCCCTTGCCTTCATTCTTCTTTCCTCTCTTGCCCTTCTTTACCTTATCTTTCCGTAGTATGCCCGGGAAGGTACATGCGGCCAATGGGAATTGAACCCGTGACCTCATGAATGCCATTTGTGTGCTTCACCATCTGAGCTAGGCTGCTGACTGTTTCCCTCCCTTCCCTCTCTCTTCCTTTCCCTTCCCTTCTTTCCTTCCCTATCCGTCTTTCCTCCCTTGTCCGTCGTTCTTTTGTACATATATTTTAAAAAGGGCAACGACCTTGAGATATCATCATTTGAACTAACCGGCTCTAGGTAATTCAAATTTGCAGTATTTTACTCGTCTGCTTCATCTGCTTCAAGTGGAGTTCGAACTCATGTCTGTGTTTCAACAGTTCAGGGGGTGTACCAACTGAGCTAGACCAGTCAGTTGGTTCCTCAGACTCTCTCTCTCTCTCTCTCTCTCTCTCTCTCTCTCTCTCTCTCACACACACACA